ATCTGCAACTGTTTGATAATGTTTTGAACTCTTAAAATATTGCATGATAAAAACAGAAGCTGCACTTCATATTAGTGACAAACTTTGGTGTTTTTTTTGACTAATTACTTTTAATTTTGCCTTCTACTTTTCATTTAAAATACGTTTACATTCTCAGCAGGTTTCTAAGGTTCTTCTTCTACATAATAAAAAAGTTGTTAAACAATTAAGTGGCGCACTAATGCTACTAGTGGTGAGAAAGTGTATTGCACCTTATTCAAAATTAATGCGGTCCCGCGGCCCTCTGCGGCCCAAAGTTAAAAACTGTTGTTCTTCTGAGGCTCTGCTCTAAAGATTGTTTTACATATTTTGCTAAGGCTTATTTCTAATCTTCATAAGACCACATTATACTGTTTTTTTTTAGATTTAGTTTATTTTGTTGGGTTTAAAGCCAGCCCTGTGACTAGATCCCTCATAAATTTCCATTAAAAGAGCAGAAAAACAAACATCTGTTGACCTTCATGCAGACTCTCTCCTTCCCATCAACCTGYATACCTGGAACTGTTTTTCTACAAATAAAGAAAACAGAGGCAGCCATGAAAGCGTGACTGTCTTTCTGTGGTTCTTGGTGTTGATTGTCTCACTAAAGCAGCTCTCCTCTTCCCACTCAGTACCCGCTTCCCACTCATTGCTCCTAGCAGCCTGCACTCACATGTACATCCACCCACACAGCTATTTCATCTGTGGAGGTAGCAGCCATTCTCTCTGTCGCTCTTTTTCTCTCGCTGTAAATGTTACTTTTTTCCTCTCACCAACAGACAGTCATCGCATCTCAAAAGGCTGGGAGACAGATAAATGTGCGTCTCGGTAGGATTAGTTTGATGCCATATAGGGTTTTTGGCTGGTTACGACTTTCTAAATCTGATGCACAATATGCACATTGCTGGCAGGATGATGTGATGCCTTTTTTTTTACTTTATCGTACTGCCAGGAATCAATGTGAAACAGTCACATGGGGGATTTTAAAAATATCCACTTGCTATTGCTTATTGTGAACAGAWCAAAAAGATTAGATCTGATGACACTAAAGTGATGGTGTCTTTACCTCGTAAGTGGTCTGGGACTTTATATGAGCTGTCAGTCCGGATCCAAAAGAATCTGAACTCTCCACACAAATCACAAGGTTGTAGTTGGGTCTCGGGTCAATTTTTTAAAAACCAACAGAAAATAGTCCCAGTTGAACCTGTTAAGAAAGAGGAAGACACTTTAATTGGTTTACAGAAAACATGTTTATCAATTTTTTCTAACTTCTACCCTTTTAGAACAGTAAGAAATCATATTTTTAATGATTTTGTAATCTTAAAATAGTAAAAGGAATATTACAAATAATGATCATTATAGCAGTATTTCCTTCTTCTTCTTTTTTTGAGAGCTTAACCAACCACTATCAGCACCATAAAAATATATTCAAGCCATGTGGATCCCAAAATATTACAAATAACCCCGCAAATGACACACAGACATATCTGTGAACCTATCAACCACATAARATTATCTTCCCTAGAAATTGATTTATTATGACTGAGCTGTCTCTTGTAACAAATATATAAGCTCCCAAAGCCTCTGTTCGATAAACTAGCATCATAAAGATGTTTAAAACCTGACCACGACCGTCTCCAAAGCATTTAAAGTTWAGAATTTTGAATATCTGATCAGATAATCGGTTTCTTGTTTGTATTGTTCATGATGTAACAAGAAACATGACACGTCTGAGTAGTTTTTCAAATTACAGCCTTCTAGTTATGAATATGTCTGCATTTTGTCCTTTTACACTCTTTGGGGACTGTTTTGGTATTAGTGAAKTGAGCTGGATATACCTGGGATGGTATAAGTAGTTTTAAGGACATCGCACGGTGAATATTCTCATCAGAACCCTTTTCGTGTGCAACCACAGGTTGTATAGAGTCTGGCTGCAGCTAGATAACTCTGTTGGCAAAAAAATAATGTAGGGGTTAAGGAGTTTGCATGTTCTACCCGTGCGTACATGGATTTTTTTCAGAGTACTCTGGTTTCCTCCTATAGTTCAAAAACATGACTGCTGAGTTGATTGGACATTATAAATTACCCTCCCACTCTCTCATCCGGTAAAGGAGGAGGAAAATCAGCATAATGTATGTTGCATTGCCACAATAATAAATAAATAATAAAAATAAATAAATAAAGAAGCACGTGTTGCTTTGCCAGTCAGGGAGTATTGTCTCCATCGTTAATAAAACCTGGTGCCAGTCCAATATGGCCGCCCAGAAGGCACATTTGAATGTTTGTTTCTCTTTATGGAAGTAGAAATTCTTCTGTTCTTTGGGGGGAAGTTTATAACTCTGTGCATGTCATGCTYAATAAAATCCTGGTGAATTAAATGTCTGTCATGCTCTGATAAATTAYTTTTGCATGTAMCATGMAAATGATACATTTGGATTATTTAATCTATATATTCAATCCAATCAAAGATTTTGCACATGGCCTGGCGACCCATTCAGTGTACCTGTGCAGTGAGTGTGAATGCATGTGTGTGAAGGAAAGTATAGAATTACTCACGCAGGCACTTGTCCAAACATTTCATTCATTCTTCTGTCTAATTCACATCCCATTATCAAAGCTGCATGCATAAATAGAACATTTGTTGTTGTTGTTTTGTGTCTCCTCCTTCAATCTGTGGGTCTTGCTCTGATGTGGGAGATTTTTCATTCTGTATCTAATCTGCCTTTGAGAGGCTCTTCYTGACTCATTATGGTCACAGAAAATAAACACTGCTTCAATTTACTTTGATTTCTAAAAAGAAAAACAGACAAGTTGTTTTTGTGTGTGTTTTTGTCATTTTAAAAGGATAAGGCTAATTAGTTTTTTTATGTTTTTTTCTCAAGTTTGAGGTGTAGAATATGAAAGAAATCTTACAGACAAAATCATGTTTATTTCCATTTCACTTTTAGATTTATTATTGAAAAAATTAGCATTAAAGCTGCTTTCATTTGACACATTAGTCATTAAACATATAATTAATAATTGATTTGTTCATTAAGTTCTGTTCCTTTTCTCATTCTTGCTCATTCAGAATTCTAAAAAAAGTTGTTTGTTATGCGAATGAAGCTTTGTTTTTAAAACTTTATCAATTCATGAATTATGTCTTATTTATAATATAAAATTATCATATTTATTGTAGCTACTCCTAATAAAAGCTCAAACTGATGAACTTGTGATTTCARACTGATAATTCCTGCACGAACAACGAATCCACTCTTACCTGTACTGATATCTACCACTATCAGTAAGTCCGAGATATTATATATATATCATATTATAGAATGTACTTTGTTTTAAATCTTTATTAGCATGGATGCTGATGAGAAGTGATGAGTGAATCAGCAGAGCCAAGAACCTTTTCTTCACCATCTTAGCAGATGTGTCTTAATATTCTCATATCACACTGAATAAAGAAGGACTTCTGGGGGAGAAAGGAAAGTCAGATATGGTTGGACAAGTGGGATGCTAATAGTGTTAATTACAAAATGTGTGACAGAAGATTAAAACTGCAGACAACCGCTGCACTTTTTTTAACCAAAATATTAAATAATAATCTGAACATTTAAATTTGTTTAGATCATGGACAATACTTAAATTCTGAAGCTCTAAAACGTATATGTTAGCAAATAGTTAAAAAAACTGTTACTGTTGATCTATATTTTCCAAATAAGTAAATTTGAAGGGGTTTTGATTTGTGAGACAACATCATTTTATTATGACACTTTATCCATGGTCCAATTACTTTTGTGTGTTTTGTGTGTTTTTATTTTATTTGACATTCAAATAGTAAGACACATCTGTCAAATMTTCTCTAAATAAAACAACCATGTACTGTAGGGCCAGGAAACAACAAGCACATTTGCATAAAGATGATATTTTAAAAATATTTTAACATGTTCATAACCTAATCATAGGTGATCACATACCTTATTTTATTTATTCAAAAAAAAACATGTAGTCATAAATATGATTTGCTGGAATCTGAAATGGTTCAGCCTTCATTTATGGCTCAGTTAGTTCCTGTTTAATTATTCAGTCTGCTCTGTCAAATTCTTCATCTGCACAAAAAAAAAAACAGAAAAAAAGGAAATGAAACGTCTCTAAAGCTCTCCTAAATAACATCAAGATATTCCTATAAATTATATTTTAAAATGATAATTGAATAACAAATTTGACTTCATGATAAGGATTTAAAACATTTATTAGATTTACTTTTTGCTGTTTTTGCCTCTTTTTTTTTCTTCCCTTCAGCTTTCTGAGGCCCTCCAAGTGTCCCTGGCAGCCTCAGGCCCCACTTTGAAAAACACTGTCCAAGAATTCAACTGCCCATATGCAAGTGTAAATGGCACATCAATTTCTGTAAACATTATTTAAGTTACAAAGCTTTTAGGGTCTATAAATTCAACATATTCTGTGTCTAAACTGGGATTTACCGTACCTAACACAGAACAAAAAACTCCAYATAACGAATTCTGTCTTATAAAGAATTGCCCAATTCTCATCAGTTGTTACCAGTAGTGGGCCCTAGTCCCTTAAAGCACTATAGTGCTAACTGCAAACCTAAATTTCCCATTTGCACTTTAGGGCAGGAAGCAATTGGAGCTACGTCACTGGGCGACACTCCCAGTCCCAGCCCTGCTCCTCCGGCAGGCCTGTTGCGGTTCTGCTGGGTTCGGCTTTGGACGAATGTGTCTCCAGGTTCCAACCGTGCCAAACAACTCTCAACGTTTGTACCTCCTCTACGATAGTTCAGTGTAGAATCGAGGACAGCACGCTTACGATTTTGACGTCAGCAGAAATGATGCCCGATTAGCTCCTAGAGAGGTGAAGGAGATGAGGCCGAGCAGATATCCCAAGTGGTTTTGAACAAACTGGCTGCCCACAGTTACACAAGCACTTATGAAGACCCTTGCAACAATAAATAATTGAATAAAATAAAAACCGAAGGGTAAAACCACAACAGCTGCTTTTTTCTTTAACACAACAGCAAGTGGACAGTCTGCCCATAATCACGCGCACACAGTGAAGGACACACACCTGAGCAGAAGTGAACAGWCCTGAACCAGAGTAGGACCATGCTCATGGAGAAGGGGCAGTAACTGGAGCCGTAACATAAGCAGGGAAATGTTTAAATTTATGTCCTTATTTTGACGTGAAAATGGTTTCCTGTCTTACGTGTTTTCYTTTCCCGTCARCATCCAATCCTGTACCCAGAATGCATTACTTCATTTCTCTAATACAGTGATTCCCAAGCAGGGGTAAGGGTACCCCTTGGTGTACACGAGCATATTACAGAGGGTACGTGGAAAAATTTCCAGGTGTGCAAAAAATAAATAAATAAAAATAGGACTGAGATATGTAGAGCCCAATGATTTCCGCAATGCAGAAATTGCTAACAGAATCATGAAATTAACACAAAATGGAATCCAGTACAAGACGTGGAATCTCAGGGAATTTGCTCATTTGGATGAGTTTCGGACATATTTTGGAGAATTTCAATACAATGTATTTTGGACGTATTTTCCGCACCTGCCATTACTTGGTTTAATTATTCACTTTCAAGGCAACATTTTTATCTTTATGTTTAATTTGAGTTGAAAAAAATAAAATACCTGAGTATTAAATGACCTATAATGTTGTACATTATAGTTTTGGAGAATCAACATTACGTTTGACTGAAGTGGTACTAGTGGTATGACAAATGGGTACACAAGTCTACAAAGGTTGGGAACCACTGCTCTAATAAAGTTTAAATTACTAATATATTGCATGCTTTCTTAACAAAGCCCTACCATAAACATAAGAAAATGACCAAGAAGCAMCAGAAATAGCAATCCTCAACAACTGTTTATCATCATGAGCCAAAAAATCTGTTTCAACAAATCACCTCCCCAAACTGCAGCAATACGTCCAACGCTGTAAAAGTGAAGRGGCATGCCTCTAGTCGGCAGTATTTGAAAGAGTGGCTCATGTTATAGCTGGAAGGCACTCTGGTGGCACTCAGTTTTGTGCCTTAGAATTAGCTTCTGCAAAGTTTTATTGYACGCAAGCATTGTAGAACTTGTGCAACTAACTTTTGGATTAGCCCTTCCCACCACTGGTATTTACCATTTTTACCACCAACAAAGATGTATCAAATCAGATCATTACATAATCCAAACTGAACTTTAGAAAAATATCTMAAGTCCACTGTGAAAATGATGTTATATTTACCAAAAGTTGTTTGTGCAGAAGAGGTTTATGTGGAGCAATCTCAGTTATCCTTTTTCTCCAGAGTAAAGATGCTATTTTTTTCATGGAAACTTGCATCTTTAACACAAACACAGCCTGAATCTCTGATCATGCAAACACACACACTTACTGATTAAGCACAAACACACACTGTAAAAGTGCTTGATCTGCCTCCTGAGACTGCACATCCAGCACTCACCTGTCAGKCTACATTTAATGTAGTCTAAGGAAGTCCTGTGCACGTGTTTGTGTGTAGGTGTGTGTGTTCTAAGCTTTTTGAAAGTGCAAGCAARGCAAGTGCCGCAACTAAACCGTTGTAAGGTGTTAAAAATGTTGCTGATTAGTCAAGGATTTAAAAAAGAAAAAGATTTCAAGGTTTCGGAGTCTTAAGAAAAACTCGCTGCTACAAAGTTTGACTTTGAGTCTTATGGCTGAGTAAAGTTTTAATATTTAATGCCTGTGAGCTCTGCAGAGTTATGGCCCATATGATGCTGCTGTGTAAGGACATCTATTTTGGATCTGACTGTAGATAGACCTTCATACGCATGAAGGAATCTAGGGGGCACAGGTTTGTTCAGATGGTCATCAGCACTTTAACCCTGAGAGTTCTGAATGACTTTTAGAGGGGTTTCTATAAAATTTTGTTARTCACAAATAGTGTTTTGTTGATCCATTAACCTTACTATAAAACTTGACATTTTAGGATTTTTTTGCTCTTTTTTGTAAAATATTGTTACAGACAGTAGAATTGTCAGTCATGTTTGTTCAKCATATTGATTTTCCCTCCAGGATGAACCGATGTGGCATTTTATCTGGCGCCATATCAAGGTTAGCTTTAGAATTTCTTCAAACTTTGGTGTATGTGTAAAAAAAGGTTAGATGTGGGTTTTATTGGAAATAACGATTAAAAACATATTTAAAAATAAGTGCTTGCATGGTAAAAATGCATGCTTGCAGTGTCCTTGCAAAACACTTACAGGACTATTCATCTTTGATAGGCGCTAATGTGTTAGCAATAAATGTTTTTACAAGAAATACAACTGTGCATTGAACTATATGTTCCCTCCATTTATTTTAAACTACCGTGSCTTCTCCATGTGACAGTTTTCAGAGAGCATTGATGGAGGTAATTGTTCTTTCTATGAAAAATCTGTGCTATCTCATCAAATTTATCCAGAYRWTAAGCTGGGCAATTGTTCTTCTCTGCTGGCCTCACATTTATCATCTCTCTTCTCATTAACCTACTTTTAGAAACACTGTGTGGAGAACATCAGGAGAGGTGTTACAGTGTCTGCAGACATTCGAAAAAGTTTCTATTGACCAAATTCAACTGTTTTGATGATGTACAGCACTGATTTACTAAAACCAGCCTTCTTCGTCTGAGCAGTACGGCTCATAAGTACATTAGAAGTGTAAAATGTCAGGTTCTTGAACAAGTCTTATGCTTAAAAAAGAAGCTTTAACACAACAAATGACAGCGTGTTCAAACCTAAAGCTCAGCTCCTCTCAGTCTGTCAGTATATGAAAGCTCTTTGATGACACTTTGCTCCCTGGATTTGAAGAATTAACAGCATACATTCAGCACCATCAAAAAAAAAACTGTGAAAGTATGGTGTTAAAAGGCAAATATTTGTGATTTAAACTGTATATTTTRCAAGTGTGTGGATTATTGTTGACATATAAGGGCGCCCTGACAACAAAATGTAACAAAAGACAAAGTGGAAAGCAGTCTGATGGCCGGATGAAGTTAAAATGAAGCAATGGATAGAGGGATGAAAAGACGCAGAAGAGAGAAAAYAAAAGAAAATAAACAAGTCAACGCTAAGAAATGTGAAGAGTCTGCGACATTACATCACTGCTGCAGTGGCCGACAACATAAAAAATCATTTTGTAAGTCCGCAGACACCACCAGTGAGTAATGTTTATTTATCTTTATTGCTTTGATTTTATGGAGAGAAAAAAATCAATGTAAATCATATATTTAATTGTAACGTCTAAACAACACAGAAAGCATCAGTTAATCTAAATCACAAAAATAAAAATACATTTTTTTAAGATTGCTTTCATGTTACTCCAGTCAATGTTTGTTAATTCTCTGTTTTATCTGGATCTTTAAATTTGCAAAGATAAAAAAATGTAATTACGCCATTAATTTAAAAGCCTTCTGATATCATCCAAAAAGACCAAAAGCCACCACCTGAAAGTGAGTTTAAAGAAAATAAATATAACCAATATAATCTCAAAACATCGTCCACTTCTCAGAGTTAACTTGTGAGTGATGTTGGCTTGAGTTAAAGACACAGTGTGTAGGATTTGTTGTTTTCAGCGACATCTAGTGGTTGAGTGGTTGAATC